CCAGCATGTCTGGTGGGTTTGAACTTAGGCTCTTGATTCCTTTAGATTAAGAGCCAGATTGTCTGAAGGAATTTCTGCAAGACTCTAAGTTCCACAAACTCATGGCTGTCTGCTTGCAATTGTCATGAAGATTGCTTGGTGTCACTCTATTTCTTCAATCTATCTATGGCATTTTATTCCTTTTGACTGTAGTCCATTTTGATTTTAAATGCATTCTTAGAAGGTCTGGAAGACAGACTCTCTATCCTGCTTGCTTTGGAACTAATGGTCCCCTCAAATCTTCTAAAGCCGTTGCTGAGTCTTACTCTGTCCTGCCAACCCCAAATCAACTGCTCCTAGTCCCCTAGCAATGCTAGGGAAATTATGTAATTGTTTTAATTGACTTCATAACAAATTTATGAGTTCCAACCTTAGCAGGCCCTCATCTTTGCTGAACAATCCATCCTCTTAGTCAGGGTCAGCTTCATTCTTCAAACTTTTAATGATGGTTCCTTCTTTGCTTCTTAATCCCTTTCCTCAAGTCTTTTTTTTTTGGATGGCGGCCTTCCATAGGGTGTCATCAGAGTCTTTCGTTTCCTTTGGGGTAGGGGTAGGCCCACCCCAGTGTGTCTTGGCTCAGGTAGTATTCCTCTATATGGATTGGGCTCCCAAAGTCCACACCTATGCTAGGGATAAATACTGGGCTTCTACAGGAGGTCCCATAGATTTCTGAGGTTTCCTCACAGAAACTCATGTTCCTGGGGTCTGGATCAGGTCAGCTGTTTCTGTGTGTTTCACCAGCGTGGTCTGGACCTCTTCAATGGTCCTTCTCTACATCTGGTCCATCTCCTCAACTCTTTTTTTTTTTAAATCTTATCTTCGTTTTTGTTTTTCTTAGTGGGCAACCAGCTCCGTGTTAGTGAAGAAATGAGGTTTCTACCTCACTTTCCACACGAGCTGTCTCATCTAAAACAGTATTATTTCCAAAGGCAAGTACTGTTTTCTAGCTGTGGGACACCCTGCACCACCACACACAAACGATCCAATATTGCTGCATCTTCGCTTCTTCCTGTGGAAAATTGATGCAAGTGTCAATCTCAGCATTAAAATAACACAAAAGGGAGAAAGTAAGATGTCCCCTCCCATTTCCAGCCTCCAGCTCAGAGCATTCAGCTATTGTTGAACAAATGCTAATTGTTCTCATGATGAGGATTATTTAGTGTTTCTTTCTTGTTTCTGTGCTCTTTCCTTGAGATCATGCAAAGCAACTCCACTTACTCTTTTAGAATGCAAGTGGATGCCAGGAATGTTACTTTGTGTTGCTGAATCTAGCAAGAACTCCATAGAAATATACATCTTAGTTTTCTAAATCCACAGGTTTTGGTACCCCTCATCTGACTATGATCAAGAATGACCATCCTATTCAGGAGCACTGGAATCTGGAATCTTTTCAGTTTTGAAAGACTGTATCTGTTCCCTTTGTGTCAATAAGTACAATAAACCCTAATTAGTCCCTATGCATCTTCTGTTGCCATCATGGCTTCACTCCTGACAAATGAAGGATTTCTCAGTGCTTTGAGATTCACCCCAGCACTATTTTGAGAATTCAAGGTGGGATGTGGCCATACCATGCTGAATGTGCCCAGTTTGACCTCTTCTTAGAAGGGAAGTAGGGTGGCACCTTGAATGAGTAACAGTTTGTGTTCTGGTGAGTTAATGATAACCAAACAAGACATTCTTCTTAAAAATTATTCCTTTTATCTTCTCTCTCTCTCTCTCTCTCTCTCTCTCTCTCTCTCTCTCTG